CCATTAACCAAACAGATTCAAACAATTAAAACTCTTGTTTTGATAAGCGTTTTGTCTTTTCTCCAGTAGCACCTGCTACTACCACACTGCTAATATGACCACAAGGTGGTCCTGTGCTCCAGCATCAATGTGTGGAATGGAGGCTGCACAGCTGGAGAGAGAAAAGCTCTGCAGAGAGTGGTGAAGGCTGCACAGAAGTCTGTTGGAGTCATTCTCCCCACCATCACAGACATTTACACCTCCAGATGCAGGAAGAGGGCCACCTGCATCATGAAGGACCCCACTCACCCAGCACACACACTTCTTTCCTGCTCCCCTCAGGAAGGAGGTTGAGGAGCATTAAGTGTTGAACCACTAGACTGAGGAACAGCTTCTACCCTGAGGCTGTTAGACTCATGAATCTCTAATCAGAATAATCGCTGTAATGCCACTTTAACTGGTGATATGTCACTTTATTTGTGCTGCTGATTTCTTGACTTAAAGCTGCTATATTCATATCAATCTGCTCACAACAGACTCACGTTCAGGCTGCTGTTTAATACACTGTATTATATTACATTATCATTGTTTAGCATAGGGCAGCACGGTGGCGCAACTGGTAGAGCTGCTGCCTCTCAGCGAGCAGGTCCTTGGTTCAAACCCCGGTCCAGGGGCCTTTCTGGGTGGAGTTTGCATGTTCTCTCCGTGCATGCGTGGGTTTTCTCCGGGTACTCCGGTTTCCTCCCACAGTCCAAAAACATGCATGTTAGGCTGATTGGTAACTCTAAATTGTCCCTAGGTTTGAGTGAGAGAGTGAATGGTTGTTTGTCTCGTTTGTCTCTATGTGGCCCTGTGATGGACTTGCGACCCATCCAGGGTGTACCCCGCCCCTCGCACAGTGATTGCTGGACATGGGCACCAGCGACCCCCGTGACCCAAAATGGAATAAGCGGGTAAAGAAAATGGATGGATGGATGGATGTTTAGCATATATATTAGATCCTTGTATACTACAGTAGTCCCTCGCTACTTCACGGATCGTTTATCACGGACTGTTCTATCGCGGTTTTTCAAAATAAGAGTGGATATGACACACAATTGGCTGATTGATGGGTGATACGAACAATTAACATGTAATTTTTATTTAAATTAAATTATTTAGCACCTCCTGCACCTTTGTGCAGCCCATACTGCATGATAAGCTTCCTGCTGCAGCTGATCAGCTGTTCTCCGTGCAGAGTGGAGAAGTGGGCGTGGTCAAGAGTGCTTGCAGGTGGCAAAGAGCAGAGGAGGCAGGGAGCTGAAATCATGACATTCTGTGCTCTTTTAGAGCGTTTAGAGTTTAGAAACATTGTTTAGAATATTGCAAGAGTGTGGGAAGGGTTTAAAATGCCTCAATATAAATACTTAAATAAACTACTACTTACTACTTGTACTACTATTCTTACTTCACAGTTTTTCACTTATCGCGAGGCTTCAGGGTACGGATCCCCACGAAAAATGAGGGACTACCGTATTTCTTTTTATACTTTATATTTTTGCTATTTTTGGGTGTAACTGGGACCTTGAGTGCACAATTTCGTTCCACCTCATGTATCACAGGTGATGTGAATGACAATAAAGAACCTTGAATCTTGAAGGTGGCAATAATGTATCAAGATGTGTCACAATAACTAAAGTCCTTTTCCCATCAAGGATACCATTTTCAGCAAAACACCAGCTCAAAAAGCAACAACATCCTGCCACTGTTTCTACCATGGTCGTTTCATTAGAAAAGTTTTTTCAAAGTGGAAACTATGGCAACAGGTGAGCTACACATTTAATGACAAGTTAATGAACCAAACTGAACATGAACCTTAAATACCACAAGTACTCTCAGCAAGCAGAATTAGCTAATTCCAATTAGCATATGCATTTTTGCAACCTTTGTTCCATTTGATTTTTCTTTTATTTTCAGCAACAGGACTGCAGTCTATAACAAGTCAAATATCTTCACTGAAAATCTTCATCCCAATAGTGTGGACACAGTCTTTTATTTAAACAGAAATATTAAGCAGGCATTAGGCCTAAATCTTAAACAGACTGCTGCTATTAGCTCTTGTTAGATGAATGTGATCAAATTAATCCTCATATCTGGATGAGCTTTGTTTAAGTAAATTAGAAGTTTGTCTGTAGTCAGAAAGGTGTTACAATGAGTACAGTTAGGCAGTTTTTGCAAGATAAACATTTCAATGTTAAAGGAATATTTTTATTAAATTTAAATTGTACCTTAGCTTCAAATGCCTGTCTAGACAGATTAGTTTAATGACTGCAAAGGTTATTTGGTTATTCGTAATCTCTTAGCCAAATTTCATAAAGTCGTCCTGATATATATTTTTCTGCATAATTTTCCCTTAAAGACAGACACAAACAGGAGCATCCTTTAAATTCAAACTGTGACAGTGATAAACACAAAAATATCTTAATATCCAGTACCCTAGATAAAAAAAAAAAACCACTATGTTTAACAATTTATGAAATTCCATAAGGAAAGGCTACGCTGGTTTCTAAATACTTTTATCAAACATCTTTTCTGAATTTCTTGTTTACCTGCACAACTTCATCATCCTCCTCCAGGAGACCCTCCAACACATCTACGGCCGTCTAAAGCAGAGAAAGTGACAAAAGAAACACATGAATAAATAAATAAATAAATTCAGGGGGAAAAAAACATAACTGGTCTATAAAATGTGGGGAAAAAACCCAAACGTTTTTTTTCTCCGCTTTGATTGTAAATAATTTTGCACAAACGAGCGTTGTTGTCGTCGGCAGTGTTGTACATCTTCCAGGCAGCTCGATCAATGTCAGTGATCAGAGGGTCTGATAAGCATCTAAGAGGTCAGCATCCCATACACAATGTCATCAATACCAACGAGACAACAGACAAGGCAGTCGATAGACACACTCGCCGGTGCTTATCGCACAGTCGATAGTCGCTATAGCCAGTTTCTGATAGGCCTTTTAATCTATTTACTGACACGGTGTCCTAACCACCCCCTCCACTCCATACACCACGGTGCCTAATAAAACCAAAGATCAACTTGACACCCTGTCCATAATCCTGCTACTCTCCAGCTTTGTCTGATGTCCTCTCTGTAGAGTTCTGAGAGGTGGTTTGAGGTCTCGGAGGAATTAAATGTTCAGTGACCTTTGTGATAGTGGTGTCTGTGGGAAGTTTCCATTACAGAAATCAGACCTGGACTAAAGTAGGTTGAGTGTTTGTTTTGCTGCAGTCCTCGCCACATGAAACCAACGAACGGCTCCTGCGTGTGTGCATGTTTTGTGTGTGTGTGAAACCCCAAGTGATGATTTATTGATTTTTGTCAGCTTCAGGTTGGAGGCGACTGTTAGCCAATCACCCGTGGGTGAAGGGCAGGGATAAAAGTCGCGCACGTACCCGCGCGTGTCCACACACAACACATTTTACTCTCACGTACAAAAGCAGAAGCTTAACACAACAGTGAGTACAACGAGCAGCACTTGGTTCTTGTTAAGGCAGTCTTATTAGCAGGACTTTACAGTTTTTCACTCCTCCTGCTCTTTGGAGTTCTCTTTTCTTTTCATTAAGACAGCTGTGGTTCCAGAGGTGATAAAAAAAGATCTGCTGGCTGCATATACTAAGGCTTTTCACCCTGTCCTCTTAAAACTTCAGCCTTACCCCAAGCCTTATTTTGCACAATCACATCAGGGAAAGCGTGTCCTAGTTCTTTTGTTCTGTTTTGTAAAACAAAAGCTTGAGGATTGGGTTCATTAGCTCCAGAAACAGATTTTGAATCAGGAAAATTACAGAACAGAAAGGCATGAGGTCACAAATTTAAATATTTCCTCTGTTCAAAATAAAAGCTAGAGTATGTCTAGTTTTATGGATTTCTGTTTATTCCATCTAAAATCATTGTTAGTTATTATTAACAAGCATAAAAGGAAAAATAGTGTTAAGATTTTTTTGGGGGGGGCGGGGGGTGTTGAAAGCATTTTATTCACTCAAACATTGCAGTGTCTATCCAACATTTTTCAGTCAGGTCATCTGGACATTTCTGTTTTTGTGCTGAAACATTTCGCATTAGATCCGGAAGGCTTCATCAGTCAAGAGACCATCTTAGCACCAACATAACTGGTCTGTTCCACTTTGGAATAATCTGTTGCGGGAAGAATCCATTTTGTTGTGTTTCCTTGACTGATGAAGCCTTCTGGATCGAAGGTGAAATGTTTCAGCACAAAAAAAAGAAACTGTCCAGATGACCTGACTGAAAAATGTTCAATTGTATACCTGGATTATTGAGCATGGACTTTGTTGATTGCAGTGTCTAGTAATTTATTATTTTACAGTTTATTACTTGTTGCATTTCTGTCATAGTGTTGAAGCCTTGTTGGCTTGTGCATAGTGTTGTCTGTTGACTTCATTAGTGGCCAGTTGCGGCTAGGAGTTGAACGACTACATAATTTTTAAACTCGACATTAACATAATAAAACTCGAGTAGATCTCGAGTACTTGATGACATCATAGGATCTAAAGATACAAAAATACATAAATGAATATATAAAACCGCAAAAAAGGTCATTATTTACAAAAAAAGACCAACAAAACATTGGGAGCGTATATTATGCTCCTACCATTTATCATACTGCAAATAAGTCACTGGAAAAACTAAAACTATTATTTATTATTATTAAGCAGCAAAAGTAAAAGAAACATGCGGTGCGTTAAAAACTAAACTAAAAACAGTGGGGCGGACAACCACCCCGCACCACCGCCAGCTGTGGTGCGCATTAGGTTTAGTTTTAGAGATTAATATGTTTATAAGTTTTTCTTTTATAAGTTTAGATATTAATATTTTTTGCTTTTTGTTTGTGAAACGAGGTCAGAGGAAGCTGGTTCTGGTTCGGTCATTGGACCCGGTGTTGCACCATATTCTGTGACCTAATACAGTGCATACAACACCGCCCCCTACGGTCACAATATAAGGTGGTCACAGAATATGGTGCAACACCGGTTCACAACGAGCTCCAAACAGTCAGGAAGTTGATTCATTTTCTGTTTCCTTACGGTAGTTGAACTGGAAGATTCATCTTTAGTGAAATATTTCCAGACTATAGATGCATTTCTACCTGTTTGCCAAGACTGGGCCTGCTTTGCTCCATCTGTCTGCTTGGAGGAATCCATTTTGTAACCAGCGCCCGGTGCAGATCACGTGACGCAATGACGCAACAGCGAGGTAATGACGTCATCACGAATACTCGACGTGAAATTAAAAAACTCGATAGATGTCCTAGGAATCGATGTGTAGATTACTCGAGTAGTCTGTTAAAGACCTAGTTGCGGCCACTATCCTGTATGTCGTAGATGTTAATCTATTTTAAGACAACTGATTTAAATAAATATCATTAATAGAACTTGATGCATTACTGAAGAGGTAATTCAACAATTTGAATTACAAGCCTAGCATTTCGTGAAGGAACGTATAGCACCTGCCTTCGAAAGGATTGTTAAACTTAAGATAATCTTGTTAAGAAATGAGAGTTATAGCCAGTTTGGTCAAATCTTAAAACTAACATTTTTGAGAGATCTTGAGTGATCTGTCAGCACCAAGTATGTGTTAAGAGTTGATGCTCAACTACCGCCACATAAAATGTACATTTAATATCTGCTATACACAGTTCTAATTAGTTTGTTTATTCATTAATTTTTCTTTCAGCTGCTCCCTTCTTCAGGGGTCGCCACAGCAAACTAAGCCACACGAAGACTTGGTAATTATTTTTATGCCGGATGCCCTTCCTGATGAATCCACAGGTCACTGAGCTACCACAGCCCTCTGTGTAGAACAGAGAGCTGCTATCTAGGGTGCCCTGGGGAGCATAAGGTGGGGGTTAAGAGCCTAGCTCAAATGCCCAGAGTGGCGCAAATGAGGGTGGAGCATTTATAACAACCTTTACTTAACCAGATAAATCCCATTGAGATCACATATTTCTTTTTCAAGGGTGGACTGAAGATGAAGGCAACCTAACATGCATGTTTTTCAATGGTGTCCCATCCTCATGGGGCTGCTATCTTGCACGTCTTTGATGGTCCCCAGGTTCAACATACCTAATTATCGCCCTCTGCTGAAAGGTGAAAATAGGGCGGTAATGCATTTTTTTTCTCTGTGTGCTTTGTTTGTCATCTTAGTACAATATTTTGTTGGATTGTATCAGATTCAAAAAGGCCAATAGCCACCACAGCTCATCACCCTTCTACATATACAGTGCACTGGCAGCTCAACGGGTCTGTAGAGTGATGAGCACTGTTGCCTCACAGCAAGATGTTCCTGTCTTCAATCCCTGGTGTAGGCCTGGATCTTTCTGTGTGGTGTTTACATGCTGTCTTCGTGTTGGTGTGCATTTCTCCGAGTATCCGGTATCCTCCCACAGTTCAAAAATGTAGCTAAAAAGACTCTGCAACAATCAATGGCGCATCAACTTCATGAAGGGCTCTCTGATATTACATCGTTTAGTCACTATTCTGTTCAGCTTCAAATATAAAATCCAAGGGACAAGTGTAGACACGAATAGGGGCAACTCTAGAAATTGGGATCTAGCCTTGATGACGCATTAGCTTTATTTCTTAGTGTAATATCTCAACCACTATCCCTTATGGGTGAATAAAGGCCTGAAAAGATGCTCCAACCCCTTGGTGAGGGATAACACAAATAAATTGGATTCAGCTCAAGTGAGAGTGAGGTTAATTGCAAGATCTTATTTGGAACGAGCGAATATGTACGTCAGAAAATCAGGTGATTGATTCCCAAGGCAAACCTATTGTCTTAAATTAATAATAACCGAATAAAAACACACAAACCAAAACACTTAATCACAGCTGATGAGGAATGGAATTATGCTCAGCATTACATTTATGAACGCAAGTTTCACTGTAACACACACTCGCACAACTACAGTAACATACAGCCCAACGATAGATTTGTGAGATAGGAGAAATGATCTGACTGGGTTTTAAACTACCGATAGGACAGGCAGTTTTAGAGCAACAAAAATAGAACAAAAGACATCCGGGAGCGAGGACAAGTGAGCAATGATAACCATTACACTGTCTCCAACTCCTTAACTACGCTGGTCGGCCTAGGGGCGAGTGATTAAAGATTCAGAAATTTTAAAGCAGCTTCACGCTCTAAACAACAACAAGATTAATATTCTTGTAAAGATAAGAGAAAAAGGGTGTGTGACACAAATGAAGAGCGAGAAACTTAAAGAGAAGGTGCAAAAACAGGGATCCTAATAAACATTCGGAAAGTGGCCCGTGAAGAACAACAGTGCAGCAAAGACAATAGATACATGTTGTCCTCTTTATTTCAAGACCTGTTATGGGGGGAGAAGCAGCACTCGGGGGAGAAGCTCATTTATAATGTCCATTGTGCACAGTTTGTGTGTTTGTTTGTG